ACACGATCTTAATCGTCTCAATCTGTCAAGCAGACTTATTGGGAGATAACTGAGCATTCTGAGCAAGAGTTGTGAAGGTTGCACTATGATAACACGGTGCAAACGCCCAACTGCATGCAGTTAGCTGTCCTCTGCAGAAGGAGCGAGCAGGGGTGGGTCTAGTAGATACAACTGCATGGCTCTTGGGGCTGCAGGTGGCGTAAATTCAAGGTCTCCCCTGTGGGAGCCAGAACCTACCTTCCTCCCTCCCAGGCACTGCTGGAGCTGAGGCTTAGTTAAGACACCATATTGGCAGTTGTGGGGCTGCCATGTTATTTCTCTCCAGTCACAGGTCCTGTTGTCTGAACAGCTAAGGCAAGGCACGATCCACTGGCCTGGAAGAGACAGCCAGACGTTGTTGGTTCCATTTCTACTGGTGAAATTATAGTAACTCGAGAATTCAGAGTGGCACACCATTTCAGAAATCACGCTGAGAAGATCCGCTCTTGTATAAATCCAGTGGAACAGTACATGGCTTCCTGCCAATCAAATACTCACACCACGTAGTAATTAATGTTCTGAAATAACACAGTTCATGCTGAAATCAAGTATGAGTTCTGTTCCGTGGAAACACATGCTCATGAAAAATCAAGGTGATTGGGTGTTATCCAAATATTATTTTTTTTCAAACAGTACACAGTACATTAGACACTTAATAGGACCAAAGTCCACAGGGAGCCACTGGTGCTGAGGTAGGTGGCCCCAAATATTTATTAGATTAATACATACTTAGGTTGCTGATCAAATGATCGCTATATTCTCTGCTTTTAAGAGAGTCAAAAGATAAGACAATGGCTTTCCTATACTGATAATTTATTATTTTGAAGACTAGTGATCGTTCCTTAATTTGATCAGTTGGCCTTTTTGCCAGTTATCTCTCCACCTCTTTCTAGCTCTGTCGCCTTAATTTCTTCATCTGTTAGGTGAGATGTGTACTGTTCTCCTCACGTGACTGGTGTGAGGATTTCATGGGACAACGTGTTTTTAAAGGACCCAGCACAGTCACAATATCGTACTGACCCTCATTATCAGCAGATTTCAGGCCTTAAGTAGGTCACAAGCTTTAGGAAATATTTATAAGACAAATGAATAATCTCAGAAAGCTGCATTCAAGATCTTTCTTATTTTATGGATAAGTAACATATACTCAAAACACTGAAACTTTTAGTGTGGGTGGACACGTTAATAATTTATTGGAAAAAAATCAAGAGATGATTTTTGATTTTTGTTTATCTGTTGTCCATCTTTTCAGAAATGGAGTGTGAACCAGCATATTAAATATGGGGTGGTTATTCGTCTCCTTCGTGGAGAATGCCCTGATGTCTTCAGTGACCATCTGCTCTACCCAAAAGGCCTCAGTGATGTCACCATTTTATGCTTTTCTTCAAAATACTGAGGAGCTAAATATCCCCAGCTACTTTTTGAGTTAGAAAGAAAAGTTCCAAATGAGTTTATCCATTCTGGCTTTGATTTTGATCCAGGGCTTGTAATCAATAATCCACCTTGTTCACCTCTCTGTTTGGGTCCTAATACTATTTGATTTTGCCACAGCCTTAAGTTTAACTGTTGTTGATGAATTTCTCAACAAACTCTCCTTCTGGAAGAGTCTTCATAGGATTTTGTGGGCACAGAGAATCCTCTGGATGCGGCTGGAAGAGGCCTGAGATCTCCGCCTTTCCATCCTCTTCTTTTCCAGTGAGGAAAACTGAGGCCCAAGGTGTTAAATGACGGAAGTCGGGTCACGCCATTAATAACAGGGCTGGACCAGAATCGCGGTCTCAGAGTCTCCGATTTGCTGATCTTTTACCGTGTTAAGTTAGATCAGCACAAATCATCGGTTGAAAATGCAATATGGCCCCAGCAGTCTCTCTGGTAGCAGTGACAGAAAAGCCCGCAAACAGTTGTCATAATTAACATATCTTTTTTTTTACAAGCTGAATTTATTTAGTGGGTTTATGTATTCAGAGACTAGGTTTAAAAAAAGATTATTACTTTTCTTTTTAATAAGATGGTGGTATGTTGGGGACATAAATGTGTTTCTGCCAATGAGATATTATTTAATAATATTTTGAAGGGCTCAGTTTTCCTCAGATCCTTGAATATCTAACAGCATGTACATCCCCTCCCCAAACACTCTCTTCCCCCATAACCTAGCTAAGGCTGAGGAAAAAAGTGGCCAACTGCATGCACAAAGATACAAATATGGGTACCATTAGTTTGTGGGCATAAAATCACAGGCACATAAAAAAAAGATGCCCAACTGGGTGTCTGAAAACTTAGCCCCAATGGTTCGTCACACTATATATTCATAGTCATAACTCTTTGCATTTTTGTATTGGTTAACAATGCCTTTTTATTGTGAGTTAGTAATACTGCTTGAAATGGACATCTGTGTAACATCTGCAGGACTGGGGTTTCTTGACATTTTAAATGACACCAGCTCAACAAAACTGTCAAAAAGAAGGACATAAGTTCTATGCTATATATTTAAACAATGAATGAATCAAAGCTGTGATTTCTGAAATAAAGTATGACATATGTTTTAGGGAATAACATTTTGAGAAATGAAACTGCCTTTGGGGAGAAGTTACTCGATTTATCATTATAGCTTTATATTTCATTTTCAGCTATTTAAGTGAATCAGACTGGGTGATATAATGGAGAAAAGAAATTCAACTCTGTGATTTAGGGCCATGATGAGGTGTAAAATCATATAAATGATAGCACTAATTCCTGATTCTATAATGCTATAAAATAAAGCCAGTTTTACTTAGGAAGAAAAAATCCAGCTATATTTTCAATATTAGAAGTATTAGAGTGTAAGTTGCCATATTTCCTTCCCAAAAAAGATATGATAAAAGCTTTTGTTTATATGTCATAAAACACAATCTGAACTATTTTCTTTAAAGGTAATTCTCATTCAGTGATTATTGTATAGATTTCTTCTTTCTGCAATTTAGAAGAATAATTTTTTCTTTTTTGAGCAACAGATTTTTATTTTTAGGTTGTGTCTTACAGTTAAATTATTTTCTAAAGGCTAGAAATCAACTAAATTAAAAAAATCACTCAAAAATTATATTAGCTAGTGTTATTGAAGAAGCATTATGACCATTATTACGTTGGCAAGGATCCATTTCTGCCAAACAATTGTAATATGCTGTAAAAATAAGATTTTGGAACCATTCTATGGCCTTAAAAGCTACAGCCAGAGCATCGAAATAAATCTGCTTCCGGTGTCATCTAGCATGACAGCTTCTTTCAACAGGAGTCCTACCACCAAAGAAGGAAATGATCTCCGACAGAAAAAAAAAAAAATCAAAATCCATTCTTGCAAACTTCTGTCCCTGATCTCACTCATTTACTTTGAATCTTTAGGTCTCCAGGACCTCAAGGGTGGAGCAGTTATCCCTGGTTGATTGTAGCCTGCTGCTCACAGTCATCTGTGAGAGAGAGGAGGGCCTAGACCTTGGTTTTAGTTCAAGAACAATTTTTTAAATCGTATCTTAGACATTGGAAGATGAGTAAGAGACGATCTCTGCTCTGGACACACTGTAATCCAGGGCAGCCATCAGGACAGGCTTACTGCTGATAAGCCTCTGATGTAGTAATACACGTGCCCCACATTACATGTATCTATACTCCATATGCATATATTACATCCATTACAAAACATAAAAATAAGCATAATTAGGTAAAAGTAAATGTACGTATATGTTTATCTTTACTGCCTTCATCCCTGTGGATTGGCCCATGCCACTCCCTCCCCTACTAGGGGTTACTTTGCTTTGAAGACTACTGATTAGGGAAAGAGAGAGAGAGCCATGTAAATTAGACAACTGAAGCATAATGAGTTAAGTGCTATTTGTAGACATGTGCTCAAGATTCTGGGTGCAGAGAAGAGAAGCTAATATGAGGGGTGGGTAGTAAGAAAGACTTCCTGGAGAGGAAGATACCATCAGGAGGAGTCAGGTCAAGATGAGAAGAAGACTCTTAGGAGCAGGAAACAGCCTGGACAAGAGCCTGGAGCCCTGAAGCAGGCTATCGGCATGAAGGGAGGCCAAGGGGCTGGGAGGAGCTGGGAGAGACAGGAAGGGTCAGACGATCGTCAAGTGAAGGAGCACAGGCTTGACTGGGGAGCCAATGCTGGGAGCTTCTTTAAAGAGGCCTAACTGCTCAAGTTATCAGAAGGCTCCTGTTCTATGGTGGCCTCTCCTGTAAGGACCAGACATGGAGACAAATTCATAACAGGGGCCTGGCATAAGTTACTGCAAATTTAACAGACAGAAGAAGCTTCCACTTTTTCAGGAATCTTGGTAATGCATCTTCAACTTTTTGTTGAAGAACTTTCGACTTGGTTCAGTAGGAGGAATAGAATTAAGTTGTTTTATGATTCTCATAAATTGTCCTCTGATTAAAAAAAAATACCTAGACACTTTGGTGTCTCCTTTGTATATGAGCATATGTCTCATTTAGCCAAGAATGATAAATCATACCACCTGACATGCTATAATGGGTAAATCCCTCCCTGTGCACTGACTGTAATTTATTATTTAGGGCACATGTTCAAGAACGGGGAAATGCCCACGCCTGTTAACTGTTCATGCCAAATTGCAATCTGTCCTGCCCAGTTGTGAAACTCATTTCCCGTTCAAGCTGGGGTGTGAACTTTATGGCAAGGGTAGAGAAGCTCCTGTGTGTTTTTTCAGACTTTTTAAATGGAGACTTGAGGTCAGGAGGCCGGAGTGGTAACCAGGAATCTCAGAGAAGATGCTCTCTGCTTCTCTTATTTCCTTGGAGGCATTCTTAGTCCCAGCTTTACTTTAACCTGCCCTGGTCCCCACTGAGAGAGGCGTGCTGGGGCAGGGGGGACACAGGGAACGTGGACAGTGGCAACAAAGGGTCTCACTCCAGGTCTGCCCTAGGCGTAGGCAGGACTGAACATGGTAATTTGAACTTGACATCACAATTCTCCTGTCTCTCTTCGTGCTCAATATATGGGAGATGTTAGTGACCATAACCAAAGTTTTTTGGTTTTGTTTTTAAATAAAAGAAATGATTTAAAACTGAACTTGTATCCTTTGCAGTTCTTTGAGTTCTCAAGGTCAACTTATTTTGTACCCACTTGGTAGAAATTAGAGTGCTCTGTAAAGTGGTACAGTGTGAAAAACTCAGACTCCCTGTCCTCAGGCAGCTGGCAGCCTGGGAAGACTGACATCAAACAATTAATTACACATTTAATCACTTAAACAATTGGGGAAACTGCCAAGGGAGAAAAACACTAGTTGCTATGATAATATATAATAAGGAAAACAAGTCAGAAGCTCAAGGAAGGCTCTGTGGCACAAGTGACAACTTGGCTGAGACCTGTGGGTGAGTATACATTAACCAGGCGAAGAGCAGAGGGTGAAAAGAAAAGCAGCTGATAAATCAAAATGTTTCACACATTAAATAACGCATTTACATTAATTACGTGTGTTGCCATTTATACTAATGAAAAAGTATCATATAACCCCAATTTTATGTACAAGGATAGTTTAAATAAACATCTACTACTTATCTATATTAAGAGATGTTTAAAACATAGAAGTGATAGCCAACATAACAGTCACCTTTTGTGTCCCCAGATGGACAAGTCTTCAGCTCGGGCTGTGAAATGGCTTCAATGTAGTCAGAGGAAATAGGCTGTAACCCACAGGCTTCCTCTGGTTGAATCAGCAAACCACAATCCTGCATTAAAATGATAAAAATTAGCCGTCACAGTAATTAACCTGACCTGTAATAATAAAATCTAAATAATAAGACTTTCTGTGCCAGAGGGGAGGGTATAGCTCAAGTGGTAGAGTGTGTGCTTAGCGTGCACAAGATCCAGGGTTCAATCTCAAGTACCTCCTATAAAAACAACAAACAAACAAACAAACCCAATTACCACCCCCCCAGATAAATAAAGAAATAAATAAAGACTTTCTGTGCCAAGTAACCTTTACGGATAAAAGGGAGCAATTCTTGTTTACCCTTCTCTTGATATTGATTCATTAGTAGTTGTTTTTGCTACAAGTAGCTATTTCCACTAGGGGATTAATATAAATTCTAGAAATGGAATCAAATACAGATATTTTATCCAAAACATCTTCACATATTTATGAAAGGAGCTAACATCTCATTGCAATGAAACTCATTACAGAGACATGTTCTGTACTAAGCAATGCCTTCCACAGTCTGCCAGAAGCACTGGAGAGCAGCATTTCATTGGCTCTGAAATCTCTCCTCTGTTCCAGCAGGTCGGACCACTCTCATTTCCTCTTAGCATGTTCTGCAAAGCTAGTGGCACCTGTACCTGTCTTGTGTCCCTCTATCCGACCTCACCTGTGTTCTCACTGTCTGCCACTCTTCTCACTGTGTTCTCTCAGTCTACCACAATAAAGGGCAGGTGAAAATGCTATGATCTCTGTCAAGAATGCTTTCTCCCCAATTTTGCACAGAGAGCATCTTCTGTGTTTTAAGTCTCTTGAAACAGTAGCACAATTATGTATCAGCACCATTTGTTTCCTTCATACTCTGCACCTCTTGGGAATTACATTGTCCTTTGTGCCTTTTCCACCAGACTGAATACTCCATGAGAACAAATAATTATTTCACTCACGTGTATACCCAGTCTCCAGCATATAGCAGACAACAATAAATGTTTGCTGAATGTGTAAAAGGTTAGAGTTAATTGCCCCCCTTTATAGATCATAAATTCTCAGTAATGGAGAGAAATAATTGGTTTGACCTCTTGTTCGCTCCGTATCTCTACCTCTAATGAGCAATTTCTGGTCACCTTCCCTCGCACTTCCCTTGTACTTAGTGTGCGGACTTTTTGAAATTCTGATTCAGTATATGTATTTTCATTTTTTAATTCATGACAGAAATTGAAGTTTAGGAAACTGATTAAAGGTTAGAAATGTGATCTGTATTCAAATGTTCATTACAGCATAACAATGAAAAATAACAAAGTTCATAATGATGGGAGAAGATTTAGTCTGAATAAACATCTACAAATGACATACATTAATATGTGTGTGTGTGATATCTATTTATCCATCTTCCATCCATCTGTTTTTGGTGGAGACTAAACCTTTTATTCAAGGCCAAGAAAATGGCATTATGTATCTTATCAGACTGAAAAAAAATCTTTATATCAAATGTTCGGGAGGGCAGGGAGGCATAATTACCATTATACACTGTTGATAAAGAGTGCAAACTAGTTCAGCTACTTTGGAAGACAGTTTATACTAAAATTAAAAATTCACAGAATCCGTAGCCCCAAAGTGAGACTTCTCAGAGTTTGCTTCAGAGAAACCCTAGTGCAGTACATAAAGAACATGTGTAAGGAGAGATCTAAATGGATGGAGAAAGATTTCTAAGACATATACTTAAGAAAAAACTGAAGACCTTGTTTGGTTCCAGAATGATACATTTCATATGAAACACACTGTGACCATGCCACAAAGTCACCTAAATTCATGTACCTGGGACTGAGATGTGTTCAATTTAATAAGGCAAATAATGTTGGAACACTTCAAGAAGTCTGGATTTTGATAAATCTTTGCCTAAAAATGACTGGGGTCTCTTTGGGGTGTGTGAGTATAATCCTGTCTTAATGTTCATCAGGAAGGCTCTAGAAAGGGAGCCTGGATCCCAGCTGCCAAAGTCCCAGCTGGTCTCCCTGTCGAAGCCCGACGTGCCACTGGCCACGTCCATCAATCAGGAAGATGCACTGTTAGGTGTGCTGATGGCTTGTCCTCTGGGGACCAAACTCAGTCTCTAAGCCCTACACCTGTGGGCTATTTCAGACATACCATTCACAGGTAGCCTTTCTGAGGAGATGACATCTGAACTGAAGACTGTGAAACACTGGGGGAATGAGAATTCCAAAAAGAAGGAATTGCATGTCAAAGGTCATGAGGTGGAAAAATGATTTATCTGACATCTTAAGCAAAAATAGAAGAATCAAGTTATTAAAAAAACTGATATGCAACTTTAATAATCAACTCATGGAATCTGTTCTTGAAATGGGCCCTCCAAGGTGACCTGCTACACACTCCTACTGAGATGAAGATGACCATTCATAATGTGGTCCTGAGTGATCCCAGATGCAGCGTTCCAGTGGAAAGGGGGTTGATTTAATACCTAGAACCCACAAGTGCCTTACTGAGAAGGCCTGTCCCTGACCTGCAGCGACTAGCCTAGCTCATCATCAGAAATTCCTCCTTAATCCTGAACTGAAATCTACATCTCATTTGTTTGAATTGTCCTCTTGGGTGCAGCTTAGAAGAAGTTTACTGTAATAATACAGAAGCATGTTCTGATCTGACTGGCAATAGAGCATGGTAATATTGTTAAATGTTCAGTGTTTGCACTTACTGACTACTCGAGATCCCACATGTAAGCCGATGATAATAAATATAAAGCAGAACAGAGAAAAGCATAGAGTAAGTGGGCGCCAGAGAGGGTGCCCACTCCTGCTGCCCGGAACCTTGACCTTGTCTTTGTGTTTGAGTCGTCTGCCAGCATGGCGCTCCCTCTGCCTCTGATGGAGGTTCCTGCAGGCACCTGCTCTTCCAGAGTCAGCAGGGCAGCTCCATGGTACTAACCGAACAGCCGTGACTCTAGGAAATCCCAACACAGGATGGGAATCAAAGGGCCACTGCAGAGGGGAAAGGAGCACTTTGTGGGAGAGAGACATTGCAATTTCAGGTAGAGACATTTGAAGTCACACCCTCCTCTCTGTAGTTTAGGTCAAAGAATGTTCTGCTGTAGTCTGTGCTGCCTTTTGAAGTGCCCCTTAGCAGTTCATCTCTGTTTGCAGTTTGTGTAGTGTAACCCTTACATTCAAATCTTCACTATTTTGGGACCCAGGGCAGCCCCTCCTCACCCTCCACGCCCCGGAGTGGATATTAATTATTTTCTAGCTGCAGCCAAACAATATGACCCTTAAAATTGAATGAAACAAGCCACATGGCCAAATCCAGACCAATGTCCAGAGACTGCCTGACAGATTTGAGGGAATTAGGGGAAGAAAAGGTGGTATCAGTAAGGCTTGGGGGGGGTGCAGGGGGTTGTACACATTTTATGGAATAAGAGAACAGGGGCATGCATTGGAAAAAGCACCACTGTGTTAGGATTTGCACTCATGAATTTCAGTTCCAACTGTGCCATGTGTGCTACTGAGTAAGTCGCTTGATCTAGTTTTCTCAATATAAAATGGTGAAAAATGGAGAGAGGATATCGCAGCAGATGATGTGAGGTGCCTACACAACACTCATTCTCCCTTCTTCCTCTCTAGCAGAAGACCTTTGTTTTGTTGGGGGTACCAATGTGTCTAGTATTAAAAGAAATCAAAGAAACCTCTCTTTCCCAGTCTCCTTTGTAGTTAGACATGGGCAGGTGACACACTTCCAGCCAGAAAAATGTAAGTGCAAATCAGCTCTGGATTTCTGGGAAAATTTTCCTTCCCTGATGCCACATTTTCTTTGTCACTCTGTTCCCTCTCTCTGCTTGGAATGTGGGTGTGAGCCCGAGGGAGGAGCAGCCATGTTGTGACATGAGGCAACTAAGAGCGGAAAGACAGAAAGAACAAGACACAGAAGATGCTGCAGAGCCATCACGCTTCCTTTGGGCTGCCCACCTCTCCACGTCTTGCAATGGAAGAAAAACAAACATCTGCTTGGTCAAACCACGATGGAAATGTAACATCCAGCCAGGCGTCTCTCTTTCTTTAGAGTCTGTGAAAGCTAGTCTCAGCCCATATGAATCTTTGAGTATCCCTTTAGATCTTAAAAGTGATAAACCCCACTAATAAAAAAAATTAAACAATTTTTGAAAGGGAAAAACTCATTAGCCTCCTTCATGTCTTTCTTCCCTGGTGTGATTAATAATTTGGCCAGGCTCAGGCATATTCAAGAAAATGAATAACAGCTCCTCTGGTCTTACATGATCTCTTGGAGACTTTGAGTCTAGTCATGCAGAAAAGGTAGTATTTAGCAGAGTTGCTTAAAATGACATTAACCCCAGAAAGTTCCACATTTAGAGTGTATCCTTTTGCTGGAAATTTTACAAATGCCTGAATGGATGGGCATAGCTTTCAACAGAGTGCAATAAGATAATTAACAGGGATTTTCTTGTTCAAATGTGTGCAGAGTACATATGTTTAGTACATAATTTTAAAATTTACTTGATCTTTCATGAAGTGCCGCAGTGACTAACAGAAGATATGAAGGTGACCTTGCTTTTACCCCCTGCCCTACCCATGAATACAAACCATAGTCTTGTTACCAATTCCTCTGGAAGCCCATTTAGTTTTTTACAGAAGTGTCTGGCCACAAAGGAATTAGTAGTATTTCTCATTTCAAATGTGATTTTGGCTGTATTTTTAGAGCAATGCCAAATTGGATTATTTTATTTGGTAGGTATCTTTGAACCTTACCTTCTTATTTGGCCCCATGGAATCATTCCTTTAGGATCAGACAGTTCTCCCCCTTTTCCATTAAATAGTGAACAATGCCCACCTAAATTTAAAAATACACATTTACTTCTTGAGGTACCAGCTCTTTCCAGATGGACCCATTTCCCTCCCCTGGGCTTCTGCTATTTCTAACAAGTCAGTCGTGATCGCTCAAACTTGACAATCTTGGCACAGCTCTCCCACCCCAGGAAGGCAGTCTTTTTCCAGATCAAGCCTGTTCCTT